GGGGGGGGGGGGGGGGGGCCGGCTTCGCATCTGCCCCCCCCCCCCCCCCCCTTCAAATAATCCTGGAAATGACCCTGGATAGTGGGGTTATATTATAAAAACGACATTCATGAAATTCTCAAAAACAAGCCTCAATTTTTTTTCATACCGTTAGCTTTCGGCCAACCTGGTCGAAGGCCTTCATCAGACTGACTATACCGCTATACCATCTAGCGGTCAGTGAGTGTGAACAACTTCTCACGTCAGTTTGATGAAGGCCTTCGACCAGGTTGGCAGTAAGCTAACGGTATGAAAAAAAATTGAGGCTTGTGTTTGAGAATTTCATGTATATCCAACAACCAAGCTAATGAACATATTTGCTCAAAAGCGACATTGTTTGGCAAAATTTCGAACAACCAAGATTCTTTATTTCCTTCTCTCTTGTTATGAATGAGACTTTGAAAGGATGGAGTACATGTATACATAAAGTTCTTTTTTCAATGTCAAGACGATCAAACTGGTGCATTCTGAATTACAAAGCGTTCTACCCAAGCCTGGGCTGTGATCGAAACTGCGTTTTTTTTTAAAACCTCGAAAAATGTACTTAATCGGCACCTTTCGAAAAGAACACTTGCTGTTTTGATTTAATATTCAATGGTCAAATACGATTTGGAACTGTGGCCCACAGTGGTTGTTTTGTTCACCCGTGGGCCGCCAATCAATATAGAGTTTGGACCACGCTGTTGTGTTTTTTTTACCTCCGCCAAGGAGGTTATGTTTTCACCCCTGTTTGGCTGTCTGTTTGTTTCTCATTAACATAACTCAACAAGTTATGGACCGATTTTGATGAAATTTTCAGGAACTCTCAGAAGTGGGCCAAGGAAGAGATGATTAGTTTTTGGTGGTGTTCCGGATCAATAATCAATCAATAATCAATAATGATCGCTGTCTTGGCGGAGGTCTGCGCTCTCGGAGTGCTTTTTTTATCATGCATTATGACTAAGTTGACCGCATTAAATCATGAATCACACTCTGAGTTTATATATTTAACGGTGACAGCAAATAGTAAAGTGGTCGTGCATCGCACTTTGCTGAGTTATACGAAATGGCATTCCCTCTTTGCTTAAAAAAAAAAGCATGACAATGAACAATATCATTCAAAATTTAAGTACCAAACGCAGATCCACATCCTTCTTGAGTGTGTTGAGAGTTTTCCTTTCTTAGTCTGGGTTATCAAATTGAAAGTTTTAGAATCTTTTGTTATTCAGGTATGCTTCTTACGCACCCGACCGTCTTCCGAAAAGCACTGACAATATATATATCAACTTCCAACTTCGTTGTTTGTTTTCGATGCATGACTTGGCAGTTTTCTAACTTCCCTTAAGTGGGAAATAGGAGCTGCACGTTGCGCAACGCTTTAACGCACTACTGTAAGTGCTTTGATACTTTGCGTATTGCTTGATATTTGAATAGGAAATACAGGATGTATTATATTGTTGTAATACCTATACTTATTTACTTACACGTATTTACTCCCTGGTAATTCACCAGGGTCAATTCACATTATGATCAGAAGACACCGACAATGGACCCGTTTAGATCACCAGTCAAACAGGTTATACAGGTTCGCAGGCGATTTTTTGTCTCCTTCGTGAGATCATTTTGACATCCCCAGCCGAATTTTACACTCCCAGGTCCAGCAGTTTGAGCACCATGCTCTTTCAGTTCTGCATTGTTACATGTGGCTGCCGTTCATGGACGTCGAGCCAAACTGTTGTGTTTTTTTATCATTTCAGCGTGTTTTGAACAAGTCTCCCGTTTTGGTCGAAATCTTTTTACCCAAAGCGTACATGTACATTAATTAACAGATTATCTCATTGTTTTTGTGCAATGTTCAATATCCAGAGATACCGGTACTGCGTGAAAAAGGACAATTAACAAGCATGCGTTTTTCACACACTTGTGCATATCTCCCGTGAAAAATATTAAATAATGAAAATATGCAACACATTTTCAGCTAAGAAAACTATTTAAAACGACTGAAAGGGTCCCGAGATGTATTACTTTGTCGCTCCATGTCTCCCACATCTGGTTGCTCATGAAAGAGATTGCAAATTGTAGTTTACGAGAAAAAGGTCAGTCTTTTACCTTGGATTCTGTGTGGTTGAAAGGATACCGCTTAATGTGATTTTTTTTTATTATTTTAAGGAAGAAAAATATCGACGTGGTTTTCATTTTTGGAAGATTTGGGTTGTAACGTATGTCACGATATACATAATGCTGGGCCCTTAGTTGGAGTTCAGTGCCCCATAAGAAATTTTTATTTTGAGTACTTTCAGTATACGAATACGAATATCCACAGACATCCAAAAAATAGTATAGGACGGTTACATCGCCTGACAGAGATGATAAGTCCGCGCATCCAAACACTGTTTGAGGATTTGGTTTTAAGATTTACCAAGTGTATACCGACCCCATTTTTACTAATGATTCTGCATGTGTTGTCAAGTACCTTACGTATAGTGCAACAAGGCACAAATTAAGTCTTTATAATGGTTCACAATTATTTGCTTATTTTGTCGTATTATGAATACAAACTCAGATTACTTTGCTCTTAATTAAATGGATGCGTCATTGTTTGCGCCACATATAATGTATGAAGATATTTTAACTTATAACCAAAAAAAACTTTTAGAATATTTTATCAGTTGTGAAGCTATATGTACCTTCACCGTGTAAAGTCAAGATTGGGTAATGAGCAGTATGGCCGCATTTAGGTTTCAACATGGGGTACATTTCAACTTACACACTTTTCTTATTTGCAATGTAAATTGCCCGATGATTTTGTATAGGGGGTTCAAAGCAAGGGCGCGGATTCCAGCTCCTGAAAAGATATATTTTGAGTAAGCTTATGAATCCATCTGTTTATTTAAGCAGTTCATCAAAGCCCATTCCAATATTTTTTCCCGTTCAGATATTTTA